GCCCTTGGCCAATTTTTCTGGCAACTTGCAAGACTCCATAGGATCATCCCCATCATGAAATCCCATGGATTTGATAGTAAAGGAGATGGATTCTGCAGCCACTGAAGACATGAGCACAGCAAAAGTTTCCGAAATTCTGTTGTTCAAATGCTGCAGTCCACACATTGTGGAATAATCTCATTAAGGCTACCTATGAGTTAACAATTTGGGGGCTGACATCTAAATCTCAGTGGCTGGTTTACCTAAGTGCATGATCCATTTTTCTATAACTCTACCTTCACCCATTTATATACAGAAGAAGAAATATTCCCATTAAACCGGAGCAGAAGGAGCCATTTTTTAAAAATAAACAAGCCACATGTATCAGGCCTGTTACAAAGTAGACAAGGGACCTTTAAGAAGCAGATCAGAAAGCACAGAATGGTTTTTTTAAAAAAAAAAGATTAAAGATGTTTTACAGATTTCTTTATGGATCATTAAGTTTTCTGGAATCCTGAATGTAACATGACAGATTTGTTTTCAGACCTCACTAGACTGAGTTCCTATTCAATTCAAAGGGCCATGTCAGGAGAAGGAATCAAAGAGAAATAAAGGCTGCTGCTTGAGTAAATCACCAGTAAAGCACCAAAGAACAGGAAGATCGCAACAGTCTGGGCCACTGGCTGAATATAACTAAGTTCATTGTACTAGCTAAGCATTTTCATAGAGGACAAAACTGGAAGAGATTCAGAAAAGACTGGACTCTGGCTCCCACAAAAGTATTGGCCTTTGGTAAGCCGTCGGTTTTTTTATGGGTTTCTTTTTAACTGTTGTTTCTAAAAGAACTCCAAAGATGTAATAATTATTTGGGTCACGTATTTCTTTATTTGTTCTTTAAAAGCAAGCCGACAGATGCATCTATAGGTCATACACTGCTTTAGGGAATTCAGCTTGATGCCATCAGCTTGAAGCTGACAGTCTTCCTTCACATGGTTTGTGTTGGTGGCTTTTTTTGAAATCGTTAAATTGGCTCATGCTTTTATGTTGATATCTGGATTTTGTAATTGGGTGTAATTTGTGGGTTTTGGTGGTTAGCCATCTTGATTTTCTTGGAAAATTGGGCAGGTTGTAAGTTTTTTAAATAAAATAAGAATAGTCACTTTGTGAGGTTTCCTTCTTCTTTTTTCTTGAAATAGCACAATTTGCTTCCAAAAGAAAAAGAAGAAGAAAAGTAAGGAATCATTAAGCATCTAAAGCCACCATATTACCCCAGCACTAAATGCATCAAATATCATCTGGAAAATGTCAAACCAAACTATCCCCCTCATCAAAGCAATGCTGTTGTTGGAGCCCTCGATTCGCAATTCACAATAATTAACTAAAACATGAAATATGGATCTGGATACAAGCAAGAGACAAATTGATATTTGAAAGCTGGGTTTAATAATCCCCAAAAAGGGACCATCTGTTAATAACAATCTTTTCCCTTGATCTCTGATGGGTATTCAAAATACAGACACAGATGGAATTTTATTTCCTTTTTCATTACAAAGATAATCTTGCTACTATACTTAAATGCTCGTCACTGTACATCTTTGCTAAGTATGCATTTTTTTAGTTACAACTATGGGGTGATAAAAGTCATGCAATCAACAGAACTTCTGGAGCAAACATGAACTATCGGACATACCAAATTGCATTTTGACTCTTGATTTTGTTAAGTGAGCCGACCTATGATCACCAGCAAACTAAGAGAACACTGTCCAAATCCCTGGTGTTCTTCACATTAGTGGCAAATGGGTATGAGTTACCTTATATTCATTTGAATGTTGTTCTGTTATAGAACAACAGACATGAGAAGAGCTAGGAGTGAACACCGTCTTTTAATCCAACGAGCAAATTGAGTAATTTAAGATATCCAAAACCCAAGCAAGTCAGATGTTGCATTCTCCCCCTTCCCCGCTGCCATAATATATTTGCAGAAGAAAAGGAGCAAGATAGAGAGTGAGAGTGGAGAGAGACCATGCATGCATTGATTGCATACTTCTCACAGATAGAGGTCACTAATGGACTGAATTTGAATCACTGTGGCAGAAACCACAAAGTTATATGAAAGTAATCTAGTGAAAAATGAACTCACTTTTAGATTAAGAGCAGAGGGTGTAGGGGTGACTAAAAAGCTGTCCTTCTTGGAAACAAACAGTTTTCTCTTAAGAGGGGCTATTCCCTCACTTATAAAGCACAGCAGAATAAAAGCCACAGCCCTTAATGTGCTTGATCTCCTACTTGTTTTCAAACAAGGAAGCCTACGTTTTCTGATGCCAGGGAATGGAGAGGAAAATCAAATCATCAGGGCTCTACATACTTGAGAGTTGCCTTTCTAACCACTTACAGACATGTTTGCATTGTCGATTCTCGCCTGAAACCACAGCCCATGTAAGGCATTTTTTGAAATGGGTGGAGATGGGGTTGTTTTCAGCAGATAAGCCTAACTCTGTATCAGGCTCTCCAGCAGACCAGGATATAATCATGACTTATAGCAATGGCTCAAATTAAATCAAGAGACTGAAAATCATATGCAGATAAAAATCACATATACATATGAACAAGTCAATCCTTAGCTTAGCTTGTTTGCATTCCATCAATTTATCTTTTGTCCAAGTCCTAGACTTCTGCACACCGTGTCCAACATTCTGATCAGAGGCCAGTTTGCAAACAGAACATTATCACCATGCCAAGGAGGTCCAATTTTCAGTGGGGCTTGGCTGGCATCTCATAGAATAATGGAATTGTAAAGTTGGAAGAACCAACACCCCCATCATCTAGTCCAACCATCCTCTTTTGTTTTCTTTTTAACCATTGCAATGCCACCTGCAACTAACCAAGCCTGTTTTAAAAACCAAGGTAAAATCCCAGTTGTATAGGAGCAGAACATCCTCTCAAAAAGTGAGGTACTTTACCACTTATTGGGACTCATGGGAAGTTTTTGGTAAGGCGTTTGTGAGCTCAGAGCAGTGTGAAAAGTACTGAGGCTGCCTAGTGTTCCAAGTGCAATATTTTGATGGGTCAACTTAATGCAGGGGAAACTGGCAGAAGGAGAAGGGAATGGAGATTCTCTAAGTGTGATGGGTGAAAATTATCTTTGAAAGGTACTGAGTAGGTGCGGGTGGTGGTGGTTTTTGTTTGGTGAAATATAAGCATAGTGGGGTGTGTGGATTATGCGCATCTTAAAGTAATTTAGGCAAAAAGAATCAGAAGAAACAGTCCCATCATATCTAAACAGAAAAGGCTAGTTGCACAAGGCTTGCAAAACATTTTCCTGCCTTTATTCTGTGTTCTTTTCAATAGATCAGATAGGTTACTGCAATTCTGAAGGAAAATGAATCACCGTTATCTCAAAAGGCCTCCTGCCCAGCTTTGCCCCTCCTATGCTTGCAGGAGTCCCTGCCTCCTAGGATAACAAAACAAAGAAACAAAAAAGCACGCCAGTATAGTACTCTTTCTGTTAATATCAAGATGCTGCAGTCTTTGGTCAAAAAAATGCCACTTTCAGTGCATTTCTGTGACACAGACCATGATGGGATGGCCTGACTGTCCTTTTGTCCCTCTTGAATCCAGAATGGATTTGCCAGTCCCACTGGAGCAGGAATTCTCTAGTACATGCTACGTAAATAAATCCATGAATGAACTCCATGGGAGTTTTGTCTCATTGAGGACTGCAGGATTAAGCTGCCTGGAGAAGATTACATTCCAGATCCCAATTGGCATGATTGGTTTGTAAGCACTAAGAGAAGGTAAATAAGCTTGGGCGTAAAAGGATAGGCTTTGCCTATGCTAAGCAAATGCTCTCTCCTTCTATCTCTCTCTTTTTCTCTCCTAAACCACAGATAAAAAATGAAAAATCCCACAAAGGCAAAAATCTAATCAGCACTTTCTATACACAAGTCCAGGCTTCTGTATGGATTTCTGCCTTGGACTTTATTAGCTTATTGTAAGCCTTAAAACAGATTTCCTCCATTAAAATTAATTAAAAGCTCCTGTTGACTGATTCTCCATTCCAGAGAGGAAGGTTGATGGCTTCTCCCTCAGTTTTCAGGCTGCTTCCCCCCTCCCCAACTGCTTGCTTCAACCCCCTCCTCTCTTTTCTCTCTGGCTTGTCAGTAACCCTCAGACCAGCTTCATGAAATAAGGCTGCTGTCCACTTGATGGACTTGAAATGCCATCTCTGCCTCCTCCTCCCTCCCCCAAGCCATCAGATCCGCCTTTATGTAGCTATTGATGGGAATCTGATGAATACTGATGCAATTTACCGCTGCCTCCCCGCACCCCTCCATTTGAATTTCATAATGCTTGTCAGCACTGACTTAACCTGATCTTCTCTTTGCCAGCTTGGCTTTCATCTGCTCAACTTCTCCATTCCATAACACACACACAAAAGGAAATCTCTTCCCTTCTTTCTTCCAAAATATAAACCTCACTTGCTTCCAGAATGCCAAGTAGTAGCTCTTTGCTCGATGGTGTGAGGATACTGATGGGAGGAGGGGACAGAGGCGGGTCGTCCCTTTCAAGGCTAGGAAATGGCCAGAGGGCACATTTGGAACAGTCAAGAGTCAGGTGGGGGATGAAGGAGAAAAAGTAAAAAGCTGCCCTCTACGTTCATCTGGATTCTCATCCTCTCTCTCACACACACAGGCTGAAATACACAAGCTGCTGCACAGCGATCGCATCTTTCCCTTTCCACTTGTCACATACAGCCATTGATAAATTTCCCAGTGGGGATGCCTGCGCGTGTGTCCCTGTCAGTCGCGCACCACCCCTCTAGCCTAAGCAGGCGGCTGGCCATTTGCCCCTCATCCCGTCGACACCTGGATCCCAGGCCACGAACTTTCTGCATCTGGCACTATGGGGGCGATGATTGTAATGGCAGGGGGGCTTCCCTCCTTCTGGGAAGGGGGGAATGTTAGAATCGTTGAATCGGGGTAGGGGGGAATCCTGAGAGAGGGACGCGAGCCCGACTGTACCTGCAGGCTCCGATCCTGAAGCGTCGTCCTCGGGTGTGCATAATCCCCGGGGAGTCTCTGCCCCCCTCCAGCGAAGACCCCCAAACTTTGGCGGCCGCCGCCACAGCAGCAGCAGCAGTAACGATGGTGTCCGAGGCGCTGGGAGAGCAGCAATGGTGGGATCGTCCTCTCGCCGCGGTGGGGTCGTCGTCGTGGTCCTCCGCCTCCTGCTGCTGCCCTCGCCCGCAGGTTGCGGGCGGCGCTCGCCTCCGGGGCCGCCGCCTGCTGCTGCTTCTGCTCTGCGGAGCGAGCGCGGCACTTTCTTCCGCCTTCCCCGCTTACGAGGCAGCGGCAACATCCTCCTCCTTTCGCCTCCAACGCGCAGCCCGGGGCTCCAGCATCCCCGAGAAGGCAAGCGCAAAGGCGCACACCTCTTCCTCTCTCTCCTCGGTCCCCACCTCTCAAGGAGAGAGAGAGAGAGGACACACCAGGCAGAGAGGGACGCCAACAACTCGAAATCAACAGAGACGTCCGGGAGAGGAGCGAGCTCTAATCAGCCTGCAGAGAACAGTTGGTGGTGGTGTTTTCCCTTGGCCTGGGGTTGCGTTTTTTCTTTTCTTTCTCCCCTCGGTCCTCAGAGCTCAGGAGAGAGAGGATCCCACGAGGAGGAAGCGCAGGCGAGCAGCACCCCAGAAGCCTCCAGGGGCGCCGGGCGCATGCAGACGTGCACGCGTGAGCGCGTGTGCGCTCGAGCGCCTCTTTCCCCTCTGGGCTCGGAAAGTCCAGCCGCGCTGGCAGGTTGATCCTGGGCGTCAGGAGATCTCCGATCGGACTCTAATGGCAGCCGAGCCTTTCTGTCTCCCCCACCCCTTTCTCCCTCTCCTCTCTCTCCCTTTTGCTCGCCTGACACCCCAGGGAGATGTTTACAGTAATGAATTCGGGTTGATAGCCATCTCTCTCTCTCTCTCTCTCTCTCTCTCTCTCTCTCTCTCTCTCTCCTGGAGTTCCTCCCACATGGCGAGTTTAAAGAATGCTTGGAAGGCAGGGCTGCAGCCTGAAAGCTTTCCAAGAGGCAAAGTCGGGCTCGGGTTCTCTCCCCCCCCCTTAATTATTTAACCCACCCTTCACCGTCAAGTTCTTTAGCCAAAGAGGCGCTTCTGCCTCGATTCTTATTAGGAGTCTCTCCCCCTCCTCCCCTTTTGCGCGCAGCTATCAGATAGAATACGGGAAACAGCACCAAGCGGCGTCTTAGGCGCTCAGCCTGATCTACTTCTCGGCTCGGCTCTGGACGTGCGGGCGGGCGCGCGTGTCATTAGCTGCTTTAATTGCCCCAATAGAGGCTCCCCGACAAAAACATCAGCAGGGCTTCCATGGCAGGCAGGATTTGAGTTTTGCTGGCTCCCCCCCCCCCCCCTGAGGATCCCGACCATTAAGAATAAAAAGCCACTTGGTTTTATCCAGCGCTGAGCAGGCGCCCCGCTTGCAGGGAAAGGAACTCCCTTCGCTGGGATAAAATGAATTAATTGTAGTCAATAGGAAAGGGGAAGGGAGGAAAGAGGCAGAATGTTCACCATAGCGGTGTTATTTCACATGTCTGCAGCCTACGGTGAGATCCCCACCACCACATTTGAACTTTTTACCTGGCAAAATCAAATCAATAAATACATCAGCCGATCCCCGGAGAAGGAAGAGATCTGTTTTGTGCTATCTTGACTTTTCCAAAGGACAGAAGAAATCTAGACGTCTCTGCCTCACAACTGAATAAATAACCTCCAACCCCAAATGCTACATTTGCGAGAGGGGCAGCCAGTAAACCCCTTTTATTTAAATTTTCGGCTACTGCACGGAGGGCACATTTTCACCAGACTAAAATGAAGTTGATCGTTTTTATACTCTTTGAGAGCTTTGCTAGATACAAATGGAGAGGAGGGAGGAAAAAAAGGCGGCTGTACCTGCAAGACTTTGCTGGTAAAAAATGAATATACATTATCGGGTTGCATGTCTCTGACATTAATTTTAAGCACCAGGGAGGGAGGGAACTCGGTGAAATTTGTCAATTTCAGGGATCCTACAAATTCTTCTTTTGCAGGAGGGGGTAGTTTTTTAAAAAGCGTTTGAAATCACTCCTGATTTTGCTTTTTTCCATGCTGACTTGTTTTCCCTCCTCCGAGCATCTGGACTCCAGGTTCTAGAGCTAAAGAGCCTAGTGGATTGACACTAGTGTCGCGAACTCATTCCTGGTTCATCTGCAGGGAAAGGGAGGATTTCACACCTGCCTTCTCATCATCTGATGACTGCCACGCAAAAGGGTGCCTTGAAGGTGTGAGTGGGCCACCACAGACCCAACGCCACGAGGAGAAAGCCCACATGGCCTCAAGCGCGAGGCTTTTCCACGGAGTCAGATCACACCCTCCGCAGAGAGCCATCAAGTGTACAGCAATCAAGTGTAAACTAAATAAACCCAAGTACAGACGCTGGAGTGAAGAAGGCCTGGACTCAAACTACTGAGAATTCCCTTGAGCGAAACGTCCCATTGACGCTAAGAGCCGGTTAGAGGTATTTCCGTTTCCCCCTTCTCCCTTCGATCACACGTACAAGCCACACGCTCGCTCTCCATGCCTCAGCCACCCATCCCCAGCGATGTGTTGGCGGGGCATACAGACGCATTGGGCATTTTGGACACGGCCTAAGCTACCTCCGAAGGCACATCCCCAAACGCAGGAAAAGGGGTACATATATGGCAAGGGAAGGCAGCACGCATGGCTGTTCCAAAGCAGAGGGCTCTGATATTGCCCAGGTTACACGGAGAAATGGAATCAGCTCAAGGAGGGAAGGGCTGTAGCCCAGTGACAGAGCGCCTGCTTTGCGCGCAGAAGATCGCGAGTTCAATCCCCGGCATCTCCAGGCAAGGCTGTAGGAGACCAAAACCCTGGAGAGTTGATGCCAATCATTGTAGACGCTACGGGACTAAGGCAACTTCCCATGTTCCTAATGAGACACACTGTTATCAAAGCCTGGGCACAGACCAAAAATATGTCCCTCTCTCTCACAGCCCATCTGTGAGGTTGGGGATCATGGCACGTTCATTCCTGGCATGGCTCTCGCGGGGTTCACAGCCTGCAATCTATGTACTTTTCCAAGACAGAGGAACTCCTAAACCAGCTAAAGGGGTCCAGCCCCCGCCCCCATGCCTTCGAAAAATGAAAATGCTGGTGAGCAGACCCCGGAGAAGAAAGCCAGAAGGAGCATCCAGCCAGTCTCTGAAACGGAAGCGCTGGCGAGAGCCTGGCACGCAGTGCTGCTGGCACTGTTATCACAAAAGCAGAATCGCCGCTGGAGAGGAAAGCGGGCGGGGGGGGGGCGTCTCGGCGAAATCAAGACGGTGCGGGAGGGTATCCCGATAACTCGGAATGAATGAGGGTCCGGACTCGAAGGAGTTAACCCAGCCCTAACGCTCCCGCACCCCTCTTCTGCGGAGGCGAAAAGGGGGTGGTGGAGGAAAGACATTTGCCAGACAGTGATTGACTGATGGGGGAAGAAAGGAGGTTTGCTTCCGTCAGCAGTAGATCTGGATTAAAATGGGGAGGGGCGCTAAAAGGAAGGAGTGCAGGCAGCGGGGGGAATAAGCCACTCAGAGCTCTCCAACCGATTGATTCTGGATCCTTATTTTGCACAGGGAGGGAGAGAGAGAAGGGAGGACGCTGCTCTTCTTAAACCCTTGCGCCTCACTCTTGCAGCCTGATCTGGTGCAGATTTGTCAGGGACGTAAAGTCCCGCTGAACTCGCCCGAGCTTCCTTGCGCGTAAAGGCGCACAGGTTCCGGACGCAAAAGACGAACCGGCGGAGCAGAGGCACAGTTTTGAAACGTTACACACACACACACACACACACACACACACACACGATTGCCACTACATCAAGGCTTGAGAACTTGAACTTGAAGGCACGGAACGGCCTGATTTACAGAAGCCATCAGAATCCACCCACGTGGACCTTTAGCGCGAGAATGGTGGGCACCGTCATTAATTCACCCAGAAAATGTGTTCGTGTGTGTACTTGAACTAGCACCACCAAACTTAATCTGCCATGCAGAAACCGAACTGTCATTGGTTTGAAGGGGACTACTCTGGAGTAGGTGCTTTCAGGATCGCAGATATATCATTATCATTATCATTATTATGCCCTCCCCCCATGCATACACAACTCTTCCTGCCTATGGAGAGAGAATCCACAGCCTCCATCTCTCTCTCCTTCGCTCGCTCCGGAGTCACACCGAATCTAACCTTGCACACCTCTCTGATTCCCCCCCGAATGAAACTTGGAACCCTGGGCGAATGAAATGGCCCGAGTTCTTTCTCCCCATCCATCCATCCATCTCAGATGGTGGCGCCTGCAGCACGAAGGCAGCGAGGAAAAAGAATTCGCTTTACCTGACGAGAGTGCGCCGCGTTTCTCCTCTCGCTGGAGCTCACCCAAACCCCACTGGGTCAGGAAGGTGGCGAGGGCAGCCGCTCGATTCCTGCATTGTACTGATTTAAGGATCACCGCCAAGGTCTGGCTTTGTTCCATAGCTGGCAAGAGCCACGCTCGCCGTCCTCATAATCTCCGGCTTCCACCGCCGCCGCCGAAGAGGCTTCTCTCGCCGAAGAGCGCCCAGCGGAGGGATCTTCTGGAGCCGCTGTCCAGCCGGTCATTCAACCCAGAGCGCCAAGATGCAAAAGACAGCCGAGCATGACCAAATGCCTCGTTCTTCTCCGCCTCCGGCCCGCAAATCTCTCTCCCTCTTTCTTTCTCCCCTCTTTCCCCAAAGCAGATCCTCGATGCACCAGATGGGTGCCCCTCCGTCTCCCCAAAGCGAGCCCTGCCTGGCGGGTTTCACAAGCGGGTGGCTGCAAGAGCAGCGGCAACAGCAGCGCGCAGCGACGCCTGCCTCAAACAGCGCCTTCCTCGAAACTCAGCCGTCTAGCAAAGAGCGGCAGGCAGCGGCCGCTTAACCCTTTGAGGGCGGGACGCTGAAAGAAGAGCCGAGCCTGTGAGAGCAAGAGAGGGAGAGAGAGAGGTCGCTCTGTTGTGGCTGGCCCAGCACAGAATGTCTGGAGAGAGAAAGTGAGAGGCTTGCATGCCTGGGGAAACTTACACACACACACACACACACACACGAGAGAGAGATATCCTTCGGGAGATCAGCTGCGTGCCTCTTTTGCAAACGTGCCGCCTCGTCTCGTCTCAAGGGGTGGGTTTGGAAAAGAAAGAACAGGCATAATCTGCCACTGGACTCGAGAGGATAGGGGCGGGTGGGGAGTGTTTCTACTTGGGATCTTTATTTTCTGCACTTACAGACCTTTTTAAAAAAATATTTCCCGTGAACAATACGTGGATTTAGGAGCCACTTCGGAGGGATTTCGCCTCTGATCCTTGGATTTCGTGCGTGTGGCATGACTTTAACCTGTAGTTGTTTAGTTCTTCCCCAACCCCCGGCACACCTCAAACCGGCACCAGCCTTTCCGACCTCCTCGCCTTCGGGGCTCCGCATGCAGAAGCAGAATGTGCGTTAACAGCGTGCACGTGTGTACGCTTCTACAACTGTGGAAAGGTATTCTGTTGAGGCACGGGGGTGGGGAAGGCATACAAAGATAACCTCCTCCCTCCCCACGAGCCTCCTTCCTCTTTCATCCAGCGTTGGGGCTTTAGTGAAGAAGTCGAAGAGAGAACTAGTCCTGCTCCGGATGTACTCCGAATGCGGATTAGGCCTTGGGTCTCCCTCTCTTCCTGGCACAATAGTTCATAGAATCATAGAACTGGCACCCCAAGGGTCATCTAGTCCAACCCCCTGCAATGCAGAATTAACTTATCAGAGCTGCATACGCATCATATATTTACAGCACACACACCCCAAGAACCATGGGAACCGTAGTTTACCTCTCGGGGCTACACAATTCCCAG